CTCGGGGACCGCTTTGCAGAACACCTACGCTCGGTTCGCAACAAACAACTGCACCTCCCAGTCGCGAACCATTTCAACTCCCCCTCCCATTCCTCAGACGACATGTCCATCCTGGGCCTCCTGCAGTGCCACAACGATGCCACCCGAAGGTTGCAGGAACAGCAACTCATATTCCGTTTGGGAACCCTGCAGCCCAATGGTATCAATGTGGATTTCACAAGTTTCAAAATCTCCCCTCCCCCCACCGCATCCCAAAACCAGTCCAGCTTGTCCCTGCCTCCCTAACCTGTTCTTCCTCCCACCTATCCCCTCCTCCCACCTCAAGCCGCACCTCCATCTCCTACCGACCAACCTCATCCCGCCCCCTTGACCTGTCCGTCCTCCCTGGACTGACCTATCCCCTTCCTAACTCCCTACCTACACTCACCTTTCCTGGCTCCATCCCCGCCTCTTCGACCTGTTTGTTTCCTCTCCACCTATCCTCTCCTCTATCCCTCTTCTATCCGCCTCCCACTCTCTCCCTATTTATTTCAAAACCCCCTTCCCCTCCCCCTTTTCTGATGAAGGGTCTAGGCCCGAAACGTCAGCCTCTCTGCTCCTATGATGCTGCTTGGCCTGCTGTGTTCATCCAGCCCTGCACCTTGTTGTCTCAGTTTTTGCTGTATTTTTACTATGTTTTGAAATCTCTCAAATTGTGTCATTCTATTTTGTTTTCATTTATTTTGCATACTAAACTTCTGTTTTATTGTTAAAAACAAATCTGAATCAATGTGTGAGAGAGAAGAAGGGTCTAGGTTTTCTGAAGAAGGGTCTAGGCCCGAAACGTCAGCCTTCCTGCTCCTCTGATGCTGCTTGGCCTGCTGTGTTCATCCAGCTCTACACCTTGTTATCTCTGAATCAATGTGTGCTTTTGTTTAAGTGACCATCAAACAAAATATGAAATATCAAGCCAGAGTGGATGCGATAGCCTAGTGGTATTATCACTAGAATGTTCTGGAGTCCTGGTTTCAAATTCTGGGGAGGAAAACTGTTGTTCTCACATCGTCTGGCCTACATGTGACTCCAAACCTACATCAATGTGGCTGACACTTAACTGTCCTCTGGGCAATTTAGGGATGGGCAACAAATGATGCCTTGGCCATACCCACATCCTGTGAATGATTTTTTAAACATCAGTCTGAGATCAGAATTGTCTGGTAATAGCATTTTGCTGGGATCATAACAATGGATATTTGAAAACAAAACAAGTTAATCAACTGAAAATTGGTCCTATAAAAATTAATAATGGAATTAATAATGGAAAATAAGGAGGTAGTTAATAATAGCTTCTAACATTTTCCTTCTGGAAGATATTAAGCAAACTGAATGGTAGTTTTTCTGTTTTCTGTCTTCCTTTTTGAATAAAGGGGAGGGACAGAAGATACGTTTGCTCAATTTGCTGACCACACAAATCTACATGAAGAAGTAAATTGTGAAGAGGACATAAGGAGGCCACAAAGAGACATTGATAGGCTAAGTGAGTGGATAAAGGTTTGGCAAATGGAGTATGCTGTGGGAAAATGTAAAATTGTCCATTTTTGGCAGGAAGGATACAAAAGAAGCCTATCATTTACATGGTAAAAGATTCATTTGCTTTGAGGCACAGAAGGAGCTAGATCTCCTAGTACATGAATTGCAAACATTTAGGATGTTGGGACAGCAAGTAATCAGGAAAGCGAATAGAACGTTACTGTTTCAGTGAGGAATTGAGTACAAAAGTAGAGAGTTTATGCTTCATTGTGCAAGGCATTAGTGAGATTGTATCTGGAGGAGTATGTCCAGTATCGGTCTTGCCATTTAAGGATGTAAATATGAAACAAAAACAAAGTTGCTGGAAAAGTTCAGCAGGTCTGACAGCATCTGTGAAGGAAAAAACAGACTTAATGTTTCGGGTTCTCAGAACGTTCTGAGGAAGGGTCACCGGACCCGAAACGTTAACTCTGTTTTTCCCTTCACAGATGCTGCCAGACCTGCTGAGCTTTTCCAGCAACTTTGTGTTTGTTCTTGATTTACAGCATCCGCAGTTCTTTCGGTTTTTATTAAGGATGTAAATATGTTGGACAGATTTCAGAAAATGTTTACAAGTCCTATACCTGGAATGGGTGAGTTGTCTTATGAGGAAAGACTGGACAGGCTAGGCTTGTATCCACTGTAGCTGAGAAGATTAAAAGGCAAATTGGTTGGCAGACAGAGAACAAAGAGTAGGAATAAACAGGTCTTTTTCCAAGTGGCAGCCAGTGACCAGTGGGGTATCATAGGGATCACTGCTTGGACACCAGCTATTCACAACATATATTAATGTTTTAGATGAGAGAATTAAATGTGATATCTCAAAGTTTGGATATGACACAAAGCTGGATGGGAGGTGAGCTGGAAGAAAGTTGCAGAGACACTTCATTGTAATTTGGACTGGTTGACTGAGTGAGCAAATGCATGGCAGACGATGTTCTAATGTGGATAAATGTGAGGTTGTCCACTTTGGTAGCAAAAACAGGAAGCAGATTATTTTTGAATAGTGATAGACTGGGAAAGGTAGAAATGCAACAAGACCTCGGTTTCAGAGATGGTTTTCATTTTCTGATAAAGGGTCTCGGCCCGAAACGTCAGCCTTCCTGCTCCTATGATGCTGCTTGGCCTGCTGTGTTCATCCAGCTCTACACCTTGTTATCCAAGACCTGGGTTTCCTTCTACACCAATTGCTGAAAGTAAGCTTGCAGGTGCTGCAGGCAGTGAAGAAGGCAAAGTGTGTGTTGCTCTTCATAGCAAGAGGATTTGATTACAGGAACAGGGATGTTTTGCTGCAATTGTACAAGGACTTGGTGAGAGTACACTTGGAGTGCCGTGTGCAATTTTGGTCTCCTCATTAGAGGAAGGATATTTTGGCTTTGTAGGAAGTGTAACAAAGGTTTACTAGACTGCTTCCTAGGATGGCAGGATGGAAGTATCAAGAGAGAATGGATGGTTAGCACTATATTCACAGGAGTTTAGAACAGTCAGGGAATCTTATAGAAACCTTTAAAATTCTAACATGATTAGATAGGGTAAATGCAGGAAGGATGATGCCGATGACTGGGGAGTCCAGAACCAGAGGGTCACAGTTTAAGGGTACAGGGTAGGCCATTTAGGACTGAGAGTGATGAGCCTGTTGAATTCTCTACCACAGAAAGTGGTTGAGGGCAAAATATTGAATAGTTTCAAGAAGGAATTAAATATGATACTTAGGGCTGAAGGGATCAAAGGATATGGGGAGATATCAGGAACAGGCACTGAGGTGGATGATCAGTCATGATCAAACTGAACGCGAGAGTAAGCTCGAAGGACCAAAGGGCCTACATCAGCTCTTATTTTCTATGTTTCTATGAAACAAGGAACATCCTGAGGGATCTTGACAGGGTGTATGTAGAAAGGATATTTCCTCTTGTGGGAGAATCTAGAATTAAGAGTCACCATTTAAGGCAGGGATGAGGAAAATTCTTTTATCACAGAAGATTCGGCATCTTTGAAATTCTCATTCTTAGAACATGGTGGAGCTATTTGTTGGAAGAGTTTTTGAATATTTTTAAGGTAGAGGTGGATAGAGTCTTGATACCCAGCGGGTGAAAGGTTATTGGTGGTTAGGGTTAGGGACTGTGGAATCAAGGTTACAATCAGACCAGCTTATTAAATGGCAGGAATTGACCCAAGGACCGATTTCTGCTCCTAACACGTATGTAAAAAAATGAGAGTCCAAGGAATTGGAAGTGATACTGGCATGGATAGGAAATTTGATAGGTGGTAGGAGATAGAGATTGAGGATAAAAGGTACATACTCAAATAGCAGAATATGGCAAGTGTTGTCTGCTAATGTTTTATACTAGAGTCTGAGCTACCCACTGTATTGATAAATTACTTAGATGATGGAATAGAGAACTACTCTATCCAAACTTACTGATGAAACTAATTTAGGCAACATAGTAGATAGTGTAGACAAGATCTGAAAGTTGCAGACACTGATAAATTCAGTGAGTGGGTAAAATGTTGCTGATGGCATTCACTGCAAGTATGAGGTCATCCATTTTGGATCTAAGGAGAAAGATCAGAGTGTTTCTAAGTGGTGACAGTGTTAGGAATGGTGGAGGTTCAGAGAGATTTAGCAATCAAAGTACAAAAATGACTTAAAGTTAGTGGACAAAAAATGATTTGGGAGGCTAATCAAATGTTAAATTTTATTTCAACGGGATGGAATACAAAGTGAAATAATCTTTGCACAAAACTCTAGTTTATTCCATGGAGTAACTATTTCTGGTACCACAGCTGAGGCAGATGGTACACCTCTGATTCTAAAAAATGATATTGGGGTAAAAGGGTTAAATTATGATGACAGGTTGCATGGAGTAAGTATGTTTGCCTTGACTGTGAAGATTAAAGGGAGATAAAATTAAATTGTTTAAAACGATTAGAGTGATTAAGATGGTAGATAGAAAGAAATGCTTTTCTTCAGTGAGGGAGTCCAGACCAAGGGGTATAAACTTCAAATTAGAGCTAAGTCATTGGGAATGATATCAGTGAGTACTTCTTCATATAAAAGGTAGTAGAAATAAATGATTGTTTCCTGCAAAAACCTGTTGTAGTATTAGAAAAGAAAAATTGGTAAGAGGTACCGATCAACAATTATCTAACTGAAGGGTGGAACTGCCTCAAAGAACTAAATGGCTTTCTCTAACATTACAATAGTCTTATTTGACTTTAGACCATTTTCTTTCTATAAAAATAGAGGAACCCCTAGTAGTGACCTCACCTTTCTGTCAGCTCCCTCCTCTTCTACCGTGACTGTTTCATGGTTCTTGTGTTCCTTTGTTGTACAAACCGAGCAGATAAAGGTCTGATTTGTTCTGCAGAACAAGTCAAGGGCTTTTCCGTGAACTGGGCACCGTCTCTGGCTGAGGTTCTTCACTGGCTGGGTCAGGTTATGGTGTTGGAATGCCTCATTCTCCTGGTGAGGCTTCAGGTGGAATCTGCAATAAGAGGCCAGGCACGCCAGACAGGACTGTTCTGCCTGTAGCTTGGTGTGGGTGCAGAAATCGCAGACCACATCATCTGGGCCAGCAACGCAGTCTTCAGAAAAGCTCCCCTTGGATGAAGCGAAGTCGTCAACCACTCTACATAGGACATGGCTCCTGAGAAGCTGAGGTCTGGGAGTGAATTGCTCTTGGCATTGAGGACAGCAGTGGCCTCCACTATCCTTATCTTGATCCCAGCAGCTCTGAATACATTTAAGGCAGAAACTGTGACCACATGGGATTGTTACAGGATCCTTGAACATTTTCAAACATATCCCACACACCAGGCTGTCCTCTGAGAGAAGCACATTAACAGCAGACATGGTTGAAGCAAACAAAACTCAAGACAGGGATCAATGACACGGATTTAAACTGATTTACAGCCAGTTAGACACACCCATGGGGTGTTGCAGGCTGGGTAGTAGCATATGGAATGTCAGAGGTGGTGTTTCATCGTCAGGTCATTTCGACATCAAAAACATGCAGGATCAGTTCTTCTTTTGGAGGTCTCTTTTATCTTATCAAATGAAAAGCCTCTGATAGTTCTGCTTGCCCTGGAATTTCGTCACTATGAATTCAGTATGTTAGTTGCTATTGAAAGAATTCATTAGCTCCTGTTGTTTTGGAGCTATTGCCTCCCTGAGCAACACTGAAACTTGTGTCTGCAGGAAAGGATGTTCCAATGAATTGTACAGCTTTACTTTTGAAACACTCACTGTTATAATTTAGGAATCACAACATATGTATTGCACGCAGTAAGATCTTACTAATTGTGATTAAACAAATAACCAGATAATCTATTTACTGTGTTTGAGAGATTTTTTTGCCAGCATAATACTCCTGTGCTACTTTGAAATAGCGTCATAAAACTCTTTACATCCACCTGAGTGGATAGATAGCGTCTCAGTTTAATGTCTCATCTGAATCAACAAGCTTCTCACTCAAGAAAAGGAGGGTACCCACGCAGAGAACCACAACTGACAGTCGGTAGAAAGGAAGTAATGTGATGTTGCATCATTGTTATCACTTCATTTAAATACGGATAAGTGGTATTCCATCAGTTCTTGATGAAGTCTGTTTAAATTGCTATGCCATTGACCAGCTGCTATATGGGTTAATACAGCTTGATTGGTGGTTAACAATGAAATCCATATGTGACCCTGTCACTCAACCCAATGAGTGTGTGTAACTAGCTAGACATTTGTTAAGCCCTAGTAGCTCCTTCCCTTGATCTTGTTTGCTTCATCACATTTGTTGTTAATGTGCAAGTAGAACAAGTAATTAAGAAGGCAAATAGAATGTTGGCTCATATGGCCACGGCCAATGGAGTGTAAACCTGGGAAAATTTTGCTACATCTTACAGGGTATAGGTGAGGCCATACCTAGGTTACTCTGTATGGTCTTCTAATGTTAAGGAGGGATACTTTGAGGTAGTTCGGAGAAGTTGATTCCTTGAATGAAGGAGTTGTCTTAAGGAAAAGGTTGAGTAGGTTGGGCCTATTATCACTGATGTATAGAGAAATGAGAAGTGATCATATTTAAGAATGTAAGATTCTGAGGACTTGACATGGTAGACGCTGATAGAATGTTCCTCTAGTTGGTGCATCTAAAACTCAGGATGCAGATTCAAAATGAAGAATCTCCCATTTAAGATTGAAGTGAAGAAGAATTTCGTTTCTCGGGAGGGTTGTTAAATTTTTCAAATCTGTACCAGTTTGAATATAGCTGCTGCCTGGGATGCTTTCAGGGCTCCTGGGATCGAGACAACGTAGACACAGCACAAAGCTGTTATTAGCACTAACAAGGGTTCACTCCCAGACCTATTATTCACAGGAGCCTCATTCTGTGTGGAACGGTTGAAGACTTTGCCTGATCCATGGGGAGCATTGCTGAAGACCCTATTATCCCTTTAAGTTCCACTGGTGTGTGGATATGCAAAAACTTAAAGGACCTGCATGAAAACAAACAAGCACAGGTTGGTCGAAACCTTTGAGAATTCACTAGCTGCTGTTCCAATAGCATCACGTGATCATTGGCTTCGACCAAAACACGTGAATGGGAGCTTCCTTTAATTTCTTACCAAGAACATCTGGCAATGTAGCTCTCCTTCCCTGAAGTGGAGGTTGAATCCATGACCACCTGATCCTGAAGGAATAGTGTTACTAACTAGGTCAAGCTGTTGCTCATAATTAACTTAAATTACAAAGCTGGGCCTTGATGTGGGCATCGCAGGGGATACAGTGCTTTATCTCCCTCTCCGACTCCATTTGGATTTAGTCCCTTTCCTCTCTCCCTAACATCCCCCCTCACTTTTGATGGTTTGCATTGCTTATAATGGGCCTTGCTTGTAAGCACTTGATTGGCTACACAGGTGATTACTGGTGGTAATGAAAAAAAACAAGAAATGAAGTCATGGTGACTTTGGTGGTGGGAAAGTCACACCGTTGTGTGTAATAGCACCTCAGAACATTAAAAAAAAAGACAAAGATGGGCCTCATGACTTCAGCATTACTGCTCCACAACCATTAAAAGACAATATAACTTGCTGCCAGTAGTTCAAAGCTGTCCCAACAACTGAAAAATTTAAATAATTTCCGTATTTGATTTCTTTTTCATCTCTCAGTCAGAAGATTGGGGGTTTAAGCCCCACTCTAGACTTAAACTCATAATCTGGACTGATATGTTAGAATGCAGCACTGTTGTAGGACAGGACTGAGGAAGTGCTGCACTGTCGGAGTTGCAATACTAAGGAAATTGCTCCATTTTCAGAGGCCAGTACTGAAAGTACTTTGCACTGTTGGTGGGTCAGTACAGAGCGAGTGCTTCACTGTTGCAGGGTCAGTACTGAAGAAATGTTGGAATTCATGCATTTGGGTTGAGGTATTGAACAAAGGCTCCACCTGTTCTCTCAGGTGGATATTAAAGGTCCCACAGCTGGAAATGCAAGGCATGCCAATTAGGACTGAGAGGAGGAGGAATTTCTTTGGGCAGAGAGTGGTGAATGTTTGGAATTCTCTCGGCCAGGGAACTGTGGAAGCTCGATCATTTATTAAGAGAAAGATTGATAACATTCCTAATTACTAATGACATCAAGGGTCATAGGGACCATGTGGGAATATGGCATTGAGATAGATTATCAGCCATAAATATAAATAGTTAAGCAGGTTTAAGGGGCTGAATGGCCTAATCCTGCTCTAATGTACTTCATTGACCAGGACGTGCTCTCAGTCATTTGAGGTTGTAAAAGGTGCTCAATCAATCCAAGTGAACTTCTCCACTGGCTGAAGCCATACCTAGTATATCAACTGGTGGTTATAGCTGTTGGAGGCTAGTAATCTCAGACCCAGCACATAACTGCAGGGCTTCTTCAGGTGGGTGTCTTAGACCCAACTGTAGTTAGCTGATTCAATGAAATTTCTTCCAACATAAGGACTGTAAGTAGAGATATTCACTGAAGTTTGCCCAATGTCTATGCCATTCATGATTCCTCAGATACTGATGCAGTTTGTCCCTACATGCAATAAGATCTAGTATAGCCAAAGCATGGCATTCCAAATATAACCCAATGCTGACCTAGTGTGGTGTATTAATGTGACACATAGTCCGATTTCTGGTCATTTATTCTATTTCAGGATATGCCCCTATGGAATACTTGGTATCCTGTGGAATAATTGGTATCCTGTGTGTGTTGGAGACATTAAGGACTGCAGATGCTGGAAGCTAGAGTCAATAAATGTGGTGCTGGAAAAGCACAGCCTGTTAGGCAGCATCCGAGGAACAGGAAAGTCAACATTTCAGGCCAAAACCCTTTGTCGGGACTGGGGAGGGGGAGAGAAGCCCATAAATAAATCAGAGAGGGGTGTGGGGCTGGGGGGAGGATAGGTGAGAATGGAGATAGGTGGATGCAGGTAGGGGGTTATTGTCGTTGGTCCGTGGGAAGGGTGGAGCAGATAGGTGAATAGGAAGATGGACAAGTTGGGGGAGGAGAGATTTTGAAGGCGGTGAAGTCAATATTCAGCCCATTGGGCTGTAAACTCCCAAGGCAAAATATGAGGTGTTGTGCCTCCACCTTACATTTGACTTCACTGACAGTGGAGGAGGCCAAGAACGGACATGTCACCAGGGGAGCAGGACGGGGAGTTAATGTGGATCAAAACCTCGACTACATCTCCTCTCACCCACCCTCTTGCAAAAATATTATCCCATTCTCCCAATTCCTCCACCTTCACCACATCTGCTCCCAGAATGAGGCGTTCTACTCTACAGACTGTAGCTTCCCCTCCTCTCTTGTTAAGGATGCACACAACCGCATCTCCCCCTTTTTCCTGCGCTTCTGTCCTCAAACCCTCTTCACCCCCCCAACAATAAAGATTATCACCCATTAGTCCTCACATACCACCCCACCAAGTTCCAATCCAAAGTGCCATCTTCCGACATTTCCGCCACCTGCAATCAGACCTCACCACCAAAAAGGTATTTCCCTCCCCAACCCTGTCAGCCTTCTGCAGGGACCGTATCTTCCGTGACTTCCTCGTCAACTCCACACTCCCCACTAACTTCTCCAGCACACTTGGTACCTTTCCCTGCAACCGCAGGAGGTGCTACACCTGCCCCTACTACCACCCCTCTGACCTCTGTCCGAGGCCCCAAACAATCCTTCCAAATCCAGCAGAGGTTCACCTGCACTTCATCCAACCTCATCTACTATATCCATTGCTCCCAAAGTGGTCTTCTCTATATCAGGGAGACCAAATGCAGAATCAAGAACTGGTTTGCAGAGCATCTGCATGCACCAACCAACCCGACCTTCCAGTAACCATCCACTTTAACTTCCTCTCCCGCTCCCCTAGTGACATATCCATCCTTGGCTGCCATCACTTTCAGATTGAGGCCAAACCTAAATTGGAGGAACAACACTTCATATTTCACCTTGGGACCTTACAGCCCAATGGGCTGAATATTGACTTCACCAGCTTCAAAATTTCTCCTCCCTCAACCTGTCCATCTTCTTACTCACCCACAAAGAGATAGGTATAAGTAGGACACATTCAGCTACCCATAGTCAAACCTCTGATCTGAAGAAAGATTTTTTTTTAATTGATTTCTGGGCTGTGGGTCTTGCTGGCTGGCCACCATTTATTGTCCATCCCTAGTTGCCCTTGAGAAGGTAGTGGTGAGCTGCCTCTTGAACTGCTGCAGTCCACCTGCTATGCGTTGACCCACACGGAGGAAATTCTAGGATTGTGATTCAGCATGAAGGAATGGTGATATATTTCTAAATCAGGATTGAGAGTGGCTTGGAGGGAACCTGCACGTGGTGGTGTTCACTGTTCACATGTATCTGATGCTTTTGTCCTTCTGAATGGTACTGGTCATGGGTTTGGAAGGTTTTATCTGAGGACAGGTGAATTTCTGCATCTTGTAGATAGCCCACACTGCTGCTACTGAGCGTCGGTGGCGGAGGGAGTGGATGTGGTGCCAACCAAATGGGCTGCTTTGTCCTGGGTGGTGTCAAGCTTCTTGAGTGTTGTTGGAGTTGTACCCATCCAGGCAAGTGGGGAGTCCTCCATCGCACTCCTGATTTGTGCCTTATAGATGATGGACAGGCTTTGGAGAGTCAGGAGGTGAATTATTTGCTGCAGTATTCCCAGCTTCTGACCTGCTCTTGTAGCCACTGTGTACATGTGATGAGTCCAGTTAAAGTTTCTGGTCAACCCCCAGGATGTTGATAGTGGGGTATCCAGTGAGAAGACTTAGAAGGAGTTGTTGTTCAAACTGAGGACAAGTTCAGACAGGCAGAGGAGGGTGGTGGCAGACATGGACAATTCAGGCCTTCTGTTCAGGAAGAAGTGGAGAGTCCCCCAAGACCATCATGATGGGGGATGGATGTGTGAACGGATTGTACGTCCATGGTGAGGAGCAGGTGGCTGATGCCCCACAAACTGGAAATTTTAAATGGACTCCAGCAAGTTAGCTAAACAGGATTTTCCCCAAGTTTAGGGGAGACAAAAAGATTATGGCCATGCACGTCTCAATTTCCACTCACTTCCTTCAATATCCTTGGATGTATCTCATCTGTTTCCAGAGCCCTGTCAACTTTAAGTACCAACACTTTTAACTTATCAATTTTGAACCCTTCTAGTGAGAGCGTTTCCTCCTCTGACACCGCACCCTGAACAGCATCTCTCTATTCAGTAAGGGCAGATACAAAGTTTTCATTTAACACCTCAACCATGCCCCCTGCCTCCAGGTGTAAAAGCCCTTTTTTGTCCTTAAATTAGCCCTACTCTGCCTTTTACTGTTTATATGCCAATAGAAAACTTTGGGACACCCCTTTATGTTTGCTGCCAGACTTTTCACATGATTCCTCTTTGCTTTTCCTTATTTGTTGTTTCAGAGGGAGGTGAAAATTCAGTATTCCTTTTAGTTCTCAATTTTACTTTCTACCTGACACCTTTCATGACCACACTTCTTCTTTAACTTAAATGTTATCTTCTTTGTTATCCAGGGAGGTCTGGATTTGTTTGTCTTACCTTTCCCATTTGATGGAATATACCTTGACTGTACCTGAACCATCTCCTCTTTGAAGGTAGCCCATTATTCAGTTACTGTTTGCCCCAAAGTTCCGGTCAATCCTGCCCAGCTCTGTTCTTGGCCCATTAAAGTCCACCCTCCACCAATTGCTGCATTTCATTCTCCACCATCATCCTGAACCATACAACGATTACTGTCTCCTAGAGGTTCCCCAACTGACACTTGAGCCAATTGCTCCACCTAATTTCCAAGAACCAGGTCCAACAGTGCATTCTTTCTTGTTTTATTGTACACATCAAATAAAATATTTGCTTCCATCATTAATGAATAAAATAATTTACATTCCCCATAATCACAATTGATTTCTTCCCATAAGACACGCTGCTCCCTGCATCTCTGAAGTGGCCCACAGTCAATGGAACCTCAAACGTTCTTCACACCTGCCTTCAAAACTTCATCAGAAGAGCTTGAAACTTACTAAACTTCAACCTCTTGAAACAAAATCACAAGTCTTTCATTAAGAGAGATAGGAGTTATACTGCCATCAGTTTATACAAACAACAATGAGGCGTTCTTACATTATTTTATTGAGAATACTATGCAGAAGTGGTAATGATCCTAAATGTCCACTCTTGGTGCAATGTGTTGCACTAAAGATTGACAGATTTACGACGGGTCCCTTGCAGAATATATCCACGGACTTGGCGGAATGTGTCTTGTCCAATTCTAACAAAGCCAAAAAAGAAGGATGGTATGAGCAGAAGGTTTATCAACTGTCATACAGCACAGGAACAAAAAAAAATGCCATTCATCTCCTTGAGCCTCCTACACAAGGACAGGAGGAGGCTATTCAGCCCTTCATGCCAATTATGCAGGAACAAGAGGAGGCGTTTCGTCCCACAGATCTGTAACATAGGAATGTACAGAGACCATTCAGCCCCTCAAGCCTGTTACATGGGAAGAGGAGGCCATTCAGCTTGTGTAGCCTAATAAACACAAACAAGATGAACCCATTCAGTCCCTCAAGTCTGCTACATAAGAACAGGAGGTCATTCAGCTCCACTATCTTGTCCTACAGGAAACTGGGAAGGCCACTCAGCTCTTCAAGGGTGCTTGAAATTATGGGTAATCTGGATTTTAAATCCATCCACTTGCCTTGGCTCCATATCTTTCAATATCTTTGTCTAGCAACAATCTATTGATCTTTGATTTAAAGTTCTTAATTGATCTCCAGCATCTATCTCGTTTTGTTTTGTTTGAATGAGGTCCCTTTAAATGTTTCCTAACTTCACTCCTTAATGGCTTGGCTCAAATTTTGAAGTTATGCTACCTTTTCATAGACTCTTCCACGTACCTCTATCTACTTTGTAAATTCCTCTCAAAATCCTCACGACCTCAATCAGTGCTGTCATTGCCCTGAACCTCGACAGGTCAGAATGAGCAGCAAGATAATACGATAATGGAACTGAATATGTGGCTGGAGAGATGACACAGGAAGAGGGGAGGGTTTCAGATTGCTGTGGAATTGGGACTAGTCTGGGGATGTGGAATATGAATGATGGTGCAAAGTGCCACAACATGACAAAAGTAGGCAAGAATCAAAAGTTGAGAGGAAGATACAAAGAATCTGCAAAAGGTTGTAGATTAGTTGAGTAGCTAAAAACCTGACTGATGGCGTATAACGTGGAGAAAATGTGAAGTGGTCCACTTTGGATAGAATAAAGAAAAGAATAGCAAAGCATATTAATTAAATGGAGGCAATACATAAGGATCTGGGTGTCCTTTTACATGGATCACAAAATGTCAGTGTGCAGGTATAGCAAGAAGGCAGGAATGTTCGCTTTCATCGCAAGGAGTAGGTATTATTGATATGACTGTATAGGATATTGGTGAGACCAGCCCTAGAGTACTGTATACAATTTGATCTTGTTACTCAAGGAGGGATATACTTGCATTGAATTGCTTTCACTAAAAGGTTCACTAGGCTGCTTACTGCGATGAAGGGATGACTTTATGAGAAGCTATGCAACAGACTGGACCTATATTTCCTTGAGTTTAGTAGAATGAGAAATAATCTTATTGAAATATGAAAGGTTCGAAGTGGGGGGGCTTGATCGTTCAGCTGCTGAGAGGAAGTTGCTTCTGATGGAGAAATGAGAACCAGGGGTCACCAACTTCAAAATTACGTGCCTTCCATTTAACCAAGAAAAGAGCAGTTTTTTTTCCCTCTCAGGGTCATTACTCTTTGAATTAATTAACCCTGACAGCAGTGAAAACTGGCTCATTTGAAATGTTCAAGTTTGAGTTCCCCATTTAAACAGCCACAGACTCAGAGTCATCAAAACAGTCAGCATGGATTTGTTAAAGGACGGCAATATCTGACAATGTTGGCTGTTTTCTTTTTGAGGTATCAAGGAGTCTTGATGAAGACAAGGTTTTGATGTAGTCTACATGGCATTTGACCATTTTTTCGCATGGTAGATTGGTCAGGAAAATAAACTCACATGGAAAAAGCAACGTGTTGAATCCAAAATTAGCTCATTTGGCAAGAGATAAACGTTTATGGTCAATGCTGATTTGTACTGGAAGAATATTTCCAAGAGGGTTTATCCAGGACTCAGCACTGGCTGCCTTACGGCTTGTTGTTTAGAAATCAAATTGAACCTTAAATGTAGGAGGCATGATTAAGAAATTTGATCATCCACATGATTGATAGTGGAAGAAAGCTGTAGACTATAAAAAGATATTAGTCGATTAGCCAGATGAGCAAAACAGAAGGCACTAGAAAAGAAGATCAGCAGAAATGTAGGGAGATGTTGCTGGGAATTGAGAATTTTAGCTGTGACAGGAAATGGGTTTGGTTGGGGTTACTGTCTTGCAAACAGAGGCAGATATGGGGAGATTTAGTCGAAGTTTATAAAATGGTGAGGGGCCTAGAAAGACTGAATAGGAAGAAAATATTTCCATTAGCAATGACCTAAATAATCCTGGGGCAAAGATTTAAAGTAATCAGTGGGAGAATTAACGGGAGTGGTGGTGGGGGTTTGGGGTCTAGAATTCATTGTCTCAAAGGGTGGTATAGGTAGAAATATTCATACACTAAAGTACAATAATCTACCAAGCTACAGACCAAAAGCTGGAATGAGATTAGATTGAATAACACTTTTTTTTGCCAAGGTAGATATGATCAGCAAATAGCCTCCTTCTGTGCTGTAAATACATCTATGTTTCTTTAGTGGCTCACCGTGTTGATTTCCAATCCTCCAGTTGGCTGGAAGCTGGAGATCTCAGCAGCCATGTGGTCTTCAGAATCTGCTGCCCATCATCCAGCATCAGGCACTGACCTACCCAGGATGTAACGGAACCTGAAAATAACAGGATAGTACCTCGTTACAGTCATTAGATCTCACCAATCATTCCATGCAGCCCTTCAATGAGATTCGGAGATGGTCCGTGAACCCACACTCAAATACTCAGCACTTTGACTCATTTTAAAAACTCATTCACTTACAACTTTGAGCTATTTAACATAAAGTGTTCACAATTCTGTTTCAACATAAAAGGCATAGACAGGAGTCCACACCCTTCTGACTTGAAGCTATATGACTATTCCTCCACTGTGATCAAAACCACGGAACTCCCTTCCCAACAGCACTATACGGGGCCAGGGAGGGGGTGGGGGAGGAGCAGAATGGTTCAAGGCAGTAGCTCACCACCACTTTCTCCAGTGCAGTTAAGGAATGGACAATGAATGACGGCCACATTCCATGAACAATTTTAAAAAATGTCCCTTTGAATGAACAGAAAAGGCAGTGAACAATTTTCCATGTGATTAAGAGGAGTTTTTGTTTTGTGATGGACAACTGGACATGCAAATTTTAAGGGATTTTTAATTAGTCACAAATATTATTACATGTTCCAGAAGAGATGTCAGGATAGAGGGAGATGTAACATGTATAACTAACTCATAGTGGTTGTTAATCATCATGTAATTATTCTGTATAACGAGTGATAAAAATTACTAACTTATTTTGCCCAAAAGGAGGCCATTCAGCCCATGTCAGTTCTTTTTACTGCATTCTAGTCAATCCTATTCCCTTAGTTATATAACTTTAATTCCTTCAAATACCTATTCAATTTTCTTCCAGAAATCATTGATTCAATCAACATACACCTATTCATACATAGCAAGGTCATTATCAGTTGCTATGGAGAAAAAAAAAGTTCCTCACAGCCCCCTGCACCTTTTGTGCAAAATCTTAAATGTATCTCTTGGTCATTGTACCATCAGGTTTCTCTTATCCATACTAATATAAGCATGTAAAAACTTTTGTACACCTTTATCAAATCTTCACTCAAATCTCCTCTGCCCTAAACAGAACAACTCCAAATTCTCCAACTTACCCTTGTAGCTACATTTCTTCATCCCTGGAATCATTCTGGTAATGCTGCTGACCTTGTAATCCAGTGGGCCAGGTCAAATATGTTGCAAACATGGATCATGTCTCACCAAAGTAGCTTATAGAGTTTAAATTCACCAATAAATCTGGAATAAATGCTAGTTTTAGTAATGGCGACTATGACAATTATCGCAGATTGTTGTAAAGACCTATCTGGTTCACTTATGTCCTTCAAAAGAAGGAAGTCTGCCATCTTTACCCAATCTGGCCTACATGTGACTCTAGAGCTATTATCTATCATGTGGTTGACTCTTAACTGCCCTGGCTTCACAAGATAGTCAGAGGGCAATTCTAGACTTGCCAGCGACACCCACATCTCATGAGAAGTATAAAGAAAACAAATTCTGGTAAATCCCTTCTCTACACTCTCTCAAAGATCCTTGCATCTTTCCTGAAGTGAACAAGTTTGCAAAGGCTATGCACAACTTCCAGGCTTTTGTACCAATGCCTCTACTTATGAAGCCCAAGATTCCATATGCTCTACTTACCACTCTTAATTTATCCTGTCAGCTTCAGTGATTTATGCACATGAACCTTGGTCCCTTTGTTCCTGCATACTCCTTATGATTATGCCTTTAAATATATATTGCTTCTTCCTATCCTTTTGTCAAAATGCATCATCTCGCACTTCTTCGTGTTTAATTCTTTCTGCTAGTCTGTCTATATCCAGTTGGAATTGATTGACATCATCCTCAGTACTTGCTGTGCCTCCAAGTTTGGTATCAAAGGCAAATTTTGAAATTTTATTCTGTGATTCAATATCCAAATAATTTGTATAATGTGAAAAAAAAAACAGTAGTCCTAGCACTGACATTATGGGAAAACCACTGTCTACCACCCTCCAGTTTGAAAAGCAGCCCTTTAACACGTTTTTGCTTTTTTTTTTTGTTATGAAGCCATTGTCAATCCAAATTGACACTAGCCATCCTATTTCATGAACCTCAGTTTTGTTAACCAGCCTTTTATGTCGTACTTTGCCAAATGCTTTTATAGTCTACAAATACAACATTCATTGCATTCTCTTCATCAAGAAATCCAACTAGAAGTAGTCAAATATTATTGACCTTTTTCAATTTGGTGCTGGATTTCTTAATGAATGCAAATCTCTCCAAGTGCCTGCCTATTTCCTTCCAGATTATTATTTCTTAAACCTGACCCCCCACTGATGCAATCTAGACTGGCCTATAGGTAGTTGGAATGTTCTTACACCGTCCTTGAATAAGTGCACCCGATATATTCTACTTTTCAATCCTCCGGCACCTCCACTGTTTCAAGAAAAGATCGGAATTCTGCTATCCTCGCTCCCAATTATTTCCGCAGTCTGGGATGCAAACCATTTGGACCACTTGACTTATTTAACTGAAGAATCGTCAACTTTTCCAGCACATCCTATCTATCTAACCATTACCACCTCCAGTCCAAGAACAATTATCAGCAGCTTGTTCCTCATTAAATACTGATACAAAATATTTAAGTAGTCTAACCTTGCTCCAAACATGTACAGTATCATCCTCACTGACACTGCTGGGCTCCACCCACCTCATAGTACCTACTTATTATTTACATGCCTGTTAAAAAGTTTTGGCTCCCCTTTATACTGATTACCATGGTATTCCAATATTTTCTCTGTTGGCCTTGTATTCCTCTTCATTACCCATCTCAACTTGTTGTATTTAACCTGGTTTTAGTTTGAAGAACTCACTTGACAGGCATCGTTCACCTTTGTTTCATCGTATTTTCCATCTCCCTAATCATCCAAGGAGCTTTAGTTTTGCTTTCCCTTGTCTTCCCTCTTGATGAAATGTACCTCATCCCTACCTGAAATATCTCCAACTTAAAGATCACCCATTATTCCAGTACAGGTTTTTTTCTTTCAATCTTATGGTTCCATTTTATCCTGGCTATATCTCTTCTCACTGCAGTGAAATTACTCCTCTTCTAATATAGAACTTTTACATTAGTTTGTTACTGGTTCCTCTCCACTTTTAATCCAAATCTTATCATATGATGATCACTCTCAATGTAAGTATTCTCACAAATATTTGCTATCCTTTATTGAAGGGAGTGGGGTGGGGGTGAAGGGCAGGTGGAATAATAACAACTATCCCATACGGTGGGTGATAAGAGCAGTGTACTTGAACTGTACCCAGGAAGTCCATTCAGTGTTTGGTCTCACTATTTCAGGTAAACTTCATTTGGAGTTTTTAAATATTTATTGAAAGATTTAATTTCTCTTGCAAGTTTTAAATAACGTAGTTGAATGGTTAATTATTATTGGGCTAATAAATAGAGGGGTGTTTAAATTGAAGTTAGAGTTAATACTGTTATTTAATGGGATTTACTTATTGGGTGTTCATTAATATTACTTATACCTTAATATAGAGATAATAGGTATAGGGCACTTTAATTCTGTGATTATTCAATATTAGGAATCAATAATGATTGGTGCTTTACGTAAGGGGTTAATTCACATTATTTAATAATGATGTATTTAACACTGACATTAATTAAATTGAGCTCCTATAGAGTTAATTAATATGAAGTTAAATAATTTTGGAGCTATTTCATTTCCTATTTTATTATTTCTGATGCTGGTGTTTCCCTGTTGGCCATATCTGTTCCTGGTGTTACCTCCAGCCCACGCTGTAGATATGCTGAACGTTGGCTCTTTCCCATTGTTCTTGATGCCAATCACTCGGGCTCGTCCCTCGGATCCAGCTTCACCCTTTGCCGCCTCGACTGCGGTCAAGAATTGGCCTTTTAACTTATAATTGCCAATTTCATTCAGGTTTAAAACGGAGCCCAGCTCGTTCTGCCAAAACCCAGTCACATTACAGTCTCTCGCCTGTGAAAGAAAACAAGGCCAGGAGATAATAGGGTACAGACAGCAAGTACAATAGGGGCAAGAATCCACAAGGGGTAAACACTGACAGGGAGCACACACGTGCAGGGGCAAATAAACATAAGGGGCAATCGCTGATTTTGGGCAAACACCAATAGCAGACAAACACCCACATGGATTAGTTACTCATGGGGTAAACCGCAAGCGTGTAAAGGCTGGTTCGGGTCTGGACCCTAGATCAGCATGAAGGGTCCCGAACCGAAACGTCGACTTTCCTACTCCTCAGGTACTGTTTGACCTGCTGTGCTCCTCCAGCTCCCTATTTTATTGACTCTGACTTCCAGCATCTGTAATCCTTTCTGTCTCCAATTGTGTAAACACTGCCGGGAACGAATAGAGAGTAAACGGTGATGGGCGAAACATCCATAGGGTGATAACAAGGTGTTGTAACAAGGTGTAGAGCTGGATGAACACAGCAGGCCAAGCAGCATCAGAGGAGGAGGAAGGCTGACGTTTCGGGTCTGGACCCTTCTTCAGAAA